CAGGACCCTGAGATCAGGACCTGGGCCGAAATCAAGAGTCAGTCGCTTAACCAACTGAGTCACCCAGGCATCCCTGTATTAGGCACTATTTAGTCAATAGTTATGGTGGAGAACAAAATAGACCTGCTCTCTTGGAGCCCATATTTCAGTTTTAGACAAAGACAAAGAATGAATCAAAAGAAGAAAAAATATCTATGTAATACAATATTAGGTAGTGATAAGGACCCCAAAGGAAAGCAAATTAGGGTAAGAGGATAAGCAGGGTAAGAGGAGAGAAAGTGATAGGTATGTTGGGTGTTCACTTTTTAATTGGGAGGTCAGGGAAGGTCCCTCGGAGGAAACAATGTATGTCACCAAGCCCCAACCATAGAGTTCACTTACAGTATTTAGCATTTTACACTTAATTGTTGATGGGCAGAAATCAAAACAAACAAAAATAAACTCAGAAAACATCATGGACAATGTAGAAATCAGAAGAAAACATTTTAAACAATTTACCTATAATCAATACCTACTGTAAAATGAGAAAGCATCATTTCAAAAATTTTTGAAAACTTAAACAAAGTGGGACAAATTTTTAGAAAAATACAACCCACCAGAACTGACTTAAGAAGAAATAAGAAGCATGTACAATCTTAACACCATCTAAAAACTGGAAGCAGTTAAAGCAAACACACAAAGTAAATACCAGGCATGAGAGTTATACAGGTGAGAAATAGCATATTCTAATATTATGCAGACTTTTCTTAGACATTATGTAATAATGTAACCAACTAATTTTTTAAAATTTTATTTTATTATGTTATGTTAATCACCACACATTACATCATCAGCTTTTGATGTAGTGTTCCATGATTCATTGTTTGCATATAACACCCAGTGCTCCATTCAATACATGCCCTCCTTAATACCCACCACCAGGCTAACCCATCCCCCACCCCCCTCCCCTCTAGAACCCTCAGTTTGTTTCTCAGAGTCCATAGTCTCTCATGGCTCATCCCCCCCTCCGATTTCCCCCTCTTCAATTTTCCCTTCCTACTATCTTCTTTTTTTTTCTTTTTAACATATAATGTATTATTTGTAGCCAACTAATTTTTAAGCCAGCCTTGCCCTGATACAAAAACAAGAAAAAAATACCATAAGAAAAGAATATAGCAGACCCATGTCACTCATGAATATAAGTGTAGTAATCCTAAACAAAATATTATTAATAAAATTCAATAGTGTCTGAAAAAGAAATCCAACCATTTTTGCTTTATACTAGGTATGCAAGGATTGTTCAATATTTTAAAAATCTATACAGTAATTCATTAATAGATTAACAGAGGTAATCCTATAATGATCTCAACAGATGCAGAAAAAGCATGTAATAGTTATACGCCTAGTCATGATAAAAATTCTTTACAAATTATGAATATAAGGGAATATAATTAACTCATATAAAGAGAGACATTAAAGAAAACCTAAAATTAACATCATCCTAAATGAGGAAACACTAGAAGTATTCATTTAATATGAGAAATGAGCTAAAGATTCCAACTACTACCATTTTTAATCCTTAATATATTAGGGCGCTACCCATGCAATAAAAGAAAAAAACCAGAGGCGTGAGGATTGGAAAGCAATAAATAAAGCTGCTGTTTTTCAGATGACAGTATTTAAAAAACCCGAAGAATCTACAGACAACTTTATTAGAAGTAACAGGAGGGCAGACAAATAGTAGGAACAATATAACGAAGTGGATGAATTTAAGGCTAGTATAAAAACTAAGCTGCATTTCTGCTCACCAGCAGCAAAGCAACGAGAATGCATTATCAAAGAGAACTTAAAATAATAGCAGAATGCCAAGTATCTAGAAATAAATACAATAAAGGATGTACAATACCTGTAAATGAGAAATTACAAACCTTATTAAGAGATACTCAATAAGATCTAAATAAAGGAGACAAAGGCCATGTTGATGGTAGGGAGATACAATATTGTGAAAAGGCATTCTTCCCTGAATTGATCTATAGATTCAATACAATTCTAGTCAAAATCCCAAGAGAGTATTTTGCTGCACTTGATTAGATGATTTAAAGGTGATATGGAAGAATACAAAAGCAAGAACCGGTAGCATACTTCTGAAGAAAAAGAGGAGAGGGACTTGCGTGCCTGTCCAGATATTAGGACTTATTTTGAGGCTACAGTAATTAAGACTGTATGGTATTGGTGCCGGGATAGAAACACTAACCAATGAAACAGAATGTATTCCCATTAATGTATAGTATATACAGAAGTGGTCTGTCAGATCAGTGAGTAAAAGAGAGATTGTTTAATAAACAGGATGGAAAAGATGGTTATGTGAATGGAAAAAGATGAAATTAGACATCTCCTCCATAGCCATATCAAGAAACCAACTCCTGATTGATTACAGACTTTAAAAAATCACTTTCAACTCTTGGTAGGAAATCTAGGTTAATGTCTTTTGGACCCTGGGGTAGAAGATTTTTTGTACAAGACACAGAAAACATGGACTATGAAAATTTGATAAAAAGAACACTGGTCATAAAAGACACAGTGAGGAAGTGAAAAGACAGGCTACAACCTGGGAAAAGATATTTGCAATACATACAACATATTAAGGATGAGTATCATGACAAAAGAACATTGATAAAACAATTTTAAAAAGCATAAAGAATACAACAGAAATTTGGACGTAAGACCCAAACTGACATTTCACAGAAGGGAAAGCAAAGATGGCTAATAAACACAATGAAATACTATTTAATACCCACTGAATTAACACAAACATAAAAGGGATGAGCAATATTGTGTGAGAAAGACTATGGATCCACAGGATCTCTGCAACCTTGCTGGAGCAGTGTAACTTGCTGCAACCACTCTGGAGAACACTTCTGGCATTATCTTCTGAAGGTGAACATTCACGTATTTTCCTAGTAATTCTGTTTCTAGGTGTGCACCAAAGAGAAGCTCTTGCACATGGGCAGCAGGAGACATGTTCAAGAGTGTTTACAAGCAGTGCTGTTTACAAGAGCAAAACCCCCGAAACAACTCAGTGCCTATAGTCAGAAGAGTGGCTGAATGAAGTGTGATAGACTCACACAGTGGAAGATAATACAGCAGTCAAAACCATGGACTGGAAAAGGGAAAAAAATGGGGCAGTTCTCATTTCAAGACAAACAGTGATGCTTCTCAAGTAATCACAGCTTACTACATGGTTCAGTGTAAATAATCAATGATCTTAATAATGTAAACAATGAACGTTATTTGACCCCAGATTATGAAATAATTATAAAGGGAGAATATGGGGAGTTATATTGACATGTCTGTGGGAAGGCTGCAAAAGATGTGAATCGTCATTTTCTATAGTTGGTAGTCAGTAGATGGTTATTTAAAGTAAAGACTAGGAAAATAGGCATTTTACTTAGAGATATATAGGTAAATTACCTTTTATTAAAAAGGAGTTAAAAGTTAGTGTTAAGAGTTAAAAATTATTGTTTCTGGAGAGTGGGACAAGATAGAGACAGATGGGACAGGGGACTGTATCTGTGTTGTTATTATACATCTCGTAGTTATTGTTAATGCTATTTTCAGAGCCTTATATGCACGTGTGTGTGTATGTGTGTGTGTAACTTTGATTTTAAAAACAAAACCTCCCATTTGGGCCAGATGAATGTGACTTCGCTGAGCAGAGAGATGGGGCTTCTAGAAGAAAACTTTTTGGGGCTTTGGGGAATATTAGAGAAAAGCAGTAGAGATCTATATGGTCAAATCTCATTTTACAAAAAACAAAGAAACTGAGGCATGGTACAACGAAATTGTTAAAGTCTCAAAATCAGAAACTGACTAGGACTAATCCTCAGTCTCCCGGTCCCCAGGCGAGAGCTCCTCCTGCCACACCCTACTGGGAGGGGAAAGAGGTGCTTTCCAGCAAAGGGAAGGCTGGCCTTCCAGCTCTGGAATGACACGTGAGAAAAGTGAGGGAATTCTAGGAGACCCAACCAGCACCCAGCCGAGGATGAGATGCCGTGATTCTGCAACTCCTGTCTCCACGTATGAACCCGCAGCGGTGACTCCTACATGTGCATATATGAGAGCGTGTGTGTGCTTTCTGATTTTTGCTGATTCAGATGAGTCTCTAAGGATGAGACTGAAATACAAGGCTTACTGAAAGCCAGACAGAATAGATTTAAATAGACGTTAAAGCGTCTAATTCTGGGCATCACAGTAAGGAGAGAGTGGTAATCTGTTGGTTGAATAAATGCATGAACGCTATCATGTGTCTCCCACACCTGGCTTAACATGGTAAATATAGCCAGTATTTATACAGGGAGTGATTCATATGCATATTAGAGTTTGGGAAGCTCTAGTCTACAGCCCTGTTTTCTAGGTAAAATTATAATTTTAATATGTTTTTTAATATGTTTTAACTGGAATTAAAAGCTATGCAAATGACCAATGGTATCCTGAAATAAATTATAATAAATGAGCAATGATATCCTGAAAAAAATTAAGATTAAGGAAAAATGCCTGGAGGACAGGTTAAGTACTGTAATAAACATCGAATGATCAAAGTGGGAATTGTATTTCTCAGTTACCAGTATTCATTGCAATCAAATGCATCAGGGGCTGGCGGGGGGGATGCTGGATGCTTTGGGACTGCTTAATGGGAATTCTGGTGGTCTGCCACACTTCTCTAAGCATCAGTTGGCTTGATTAAGAGTGTGGCTTGATTCCCCCATCAAAGTGCAAAATCAGAATTGTGCTTAGGAAAAAAAAAATGAAATATAGAAATATGACCTCAAGTGGCTAGGCGAAAACTAAAAAGCAAAAAACAAACCCAACAGGTGGGGAGGGGGCTGTCTAGAATCCAAATAAAGTGGTAGTATTATGGGGAAAAATACTCAAGGGCTTAAAAGGTATCTTTTATTAAACGTATAGTCAGATGACAAAATCCATTAGGGACATATCAGAAAATCAACTCAAAAGAACACTCACCGAGAGGAAAGGCTTGGCTTCCCACTTTTGCTACAGCTGGTATAAATTCCTGGGCCATCATCAAAGAAACTTCCAAGTGCCAACTTCTGTCGGATAGATTCTCTCTCATTTTTCTGTGCCTAAAATTTCAGGAAAATAAAAAATGCTGATAAGCGGGCAGATCCATCACAGCCATAGCCTGTCTAACTGCTAAGTTTCTTAGAACTGCAACCTCAGAGGAAACACCAATAGACCACAGCACAAGAGCATGGGAATTATGAAGAGCTGAAATTCACCCAATCTTCCCTGGTTTCACCTCCGCAAGCAATTTCAGTTCTTCAGAGCCTTTCACGATCACGGGTCTAGGAAATCACCATGGTGGTATTAAATGGTGGTCACCGGAAGATAACTAGATTATTGGGTGCTGCAATCTTTCTTCTTCTTACCTGCTAGATTTGACAGCAGGTAAGAGTAAAGTCGTGGAGGGCAAGCACTTTGTCCCAAATCAAATCACTTTTATCCCAAATGTGGCCTTTCCCAGGATCTTGTCTTCTCTCTTCTGCATATCGTCTCTTTGGCCCACTTTCTCTATTGCAAGAATATTAATTCATTCAGCCAATATGTACCAAGCCTCTAGGAGATGGCAGGTGCCACCACATTACAATGTGGAACCCAGCCCAGGCTGGATCATCGCAGCCCCTGACTGCACTTAGCTTACAGTCTTGGTTCAAGAGTTCTCCTGATCTCACCAGTTCAGAACCCTAACACAGGGCCTGGAATAGCTGGAGAATTCTAACTGGGCCCATCTGTTTCATATTTTGAAGGGAAGTCAGGGTCGGTGTGCGTAGCAAAAGGATGTGGGAAACTATACTACTGTGATAATTTGGATATGTTTACAACATTTGGCTTCCCATAAAAGTCCCATAAAAACTCACCATGCTGAACTTTTATACCCTTTAAACAACAGGGGAGAAGATTGGAGATGGTCTCCTTAGTTAAAAATAAAACAACTACAAAAACAAACATAGTGAGTGAGAAATCCTGGGGTGAGAATGAGAGCTTGGTTATCTGTTCTGTGGGATGATGAAGGATGGGAAAAGCACCTTCGGATGTTCTGAGTGGGGGCTGAAGACAATAAGCGAATTTTATTACCAAAAGCAGCTCACAGGATTGAGCATGGCTACGGAAGGCAAGATGGCCCTTGATTCTCCCCGTAGGAGGTTCTGGAGCCACAGCTGCTGCCCAGGACCCAGAAGTTACACGTGAAAGCTCTGAGCTACCATCCGAGCATCACTGTGTCAGTGACGAGACGCACAACCTGCCGGAAGGGTCTCTTTTCACCCCCAAGTGAAGGTGGTTTACTACAGGTTAAGGCTGCTCTAACATGGTGGTTATCAACCACACGTGGCTATTTACATTTAGATGAAAAATTAATTAATTAAAAGTTCAATTCCTAGGTCACACTAGCTGCATTTCATGAGCTCCGCAGCCAGGGGGCTGGGGGGCCCCACATTCAACAGAGCAGAATAAAATACATGAGAGCACAGTGCTGCTGACAGTGATTCTCAGCTGCCAGCTTCCACAGTTCGCGTCAGAATTTCCCAATTTCCCGCAGCCTTTAAAACACACATTCCCATAGCTTCTTGGTCTCTGGCTAAGATCAAGTGTAAAATACACACTCCAGGCTCCAGCAGCAGATTTTTAGTTTTGATAGGTTTGCGAACTTCTAGTTCAAGGACCCCTCATCTGATGGTTCTCCTTTTCCCTAACATTTTTCAATTTTTGGCAACCATAGCATCCTTTCGACTCTCACACTTACGGATTATACCTGTATCTATTTATTTGGATAGCCATCCATTTCTGCATGTCCCAACTGGAGCTGTGTCATGCCCAAGAGCTATAGTGTATGTGTGCGGGCGTAAGGCCCCCCGCAGTAGAAGACTGCCTCATACAGCTACAGATGCGATGCTGATACATTGTCGCGGGCCGAGCACAACAAAGTAACCGTAAGGTTATAAAGGAGAGCAAGACGCCTTTTAGTTTTATTAAATTTATTTAATTAAAGCGACCCATCCTCCCAAATATGCAGGCTGGTATTTGTGATGGTTCTGCCAAAACAGAACCATTTGATATCATTTGTCATCTTCATAAGTTCGTTTCAAAATCCCAATATCTGCTGGGCAGATTTAGTGTAGTTAGTGAACCTAATTCTTAATTCATATAAAATACAAAAGAGATTTTCACCCAATAATCTTTACAGTCAGAAAACTGTTGAGTGAAATTGAATATCCAAAAACAAAATCAGCAGGTAATATGAATGTTAATGACTAAAGTTCAACAACATGCTGGTGCCCAACATTAGCCGGGCAGAGGTTTTATTTGAAGAAAATACCTATCCCAGGGGTGAATGTGTGAACGCACCCTTGATTCCATGTCTATCTTTCCTGATTTACTTGGTCCACTAGAGCTATCGATACTGGAGAAGGCCTTAAAAATATTTCTATTGACATTAATTACAATTTTCCATACTTGGATATTTCATGACCAGTTGAAGAGGACTGTTTTATAATACACACTCTCTCACACTTCCCTTCTCTCTCTCTCTCTGGATCCCACTGAACAAATCAAGAAAAGTGTAAATAATATATATATCACCCATAATCCCACCCCTTAGATACAGATCACTGCTAACATTTTGGGTTTTTGGGGATAGCTCTTTTTAGCTTTTTAGCTTATTTTTTCCTTTTTATAAAACTGGGATCATATTGTTTATTCATTCTGAAAATTCCCTCATATCATTTAATATTCTTTAAAACGCAATTTTTAATGGTTGTATATCATTCTATCCTATGGAGCTACCTTCTATTGTTAGTCATTTGGGTTGTATCCAATGAAAAGTAACACAGAAGTTAGCATTTTTACATAAATCCCTGCCCATGTGTCTGATTATTTCCTCAGGAAAAGTTCCTGGATGTGGAATTACCAGATCAACTGAGTGTGAACATTTGTTGAAGCTCTTGACACATTTTGTCACATTGCTCTAGAGAAAAGCTGTTCCAATTTACATGCCCACCAGCAACGTAAAAGGGTGTGGCTTTCACTACATCCTGGCTAACACTGAGTTATTTTCACTGAAAAAAAAAAATGCTGTTATTTTTATTTGATAGGCAAAAAGTGGTATTCTTTTATGTTAATTTCTTGGATTAGCAGTGAAAACATTTAGATTTTTTTTAGTTACTGTACTTGCTTTTCTCTGAATTACTTCTAGCTTTGTTTATTTTTCTATAAAGATCTAAGTTTTGAAATTTTTATATTAAGCATATTAGTCCTTTTTTGAGTTTAAATCTAAGTGTTAATGTAGTTAAGTCAATAGATTGCTTTCTTTGAAGTGTCATTGAAGGCATTGTGCTTGGAAAGCCCTTCCTAGTCCAGAGGTAAAAGATCTCACGGGATGTTGGGAGGAAAATGAGGAAATTTATGGAAATTGCTTAGCAGCAGTGGTGGTGGTAATGTAAATGTGTGATAAATGGTAGCTATTATGGTTAATCCTCCAACAGTTCCTGCTTTGAAGATGAGGGACTGGAGGGTGAAGGAAGGTTACCCTCCTGTTAGACAGAAGACCTAGGATTTAAGGCCATCCTTCTGGTGCCGGATCTTTCTGCCCTTCCACACTGATGAGTGAGGTGTCCAGGCAAATAATGGTGGGTGCCATGTTGGAGATATGATGTGGGACTTACGAGTTATGGATCTACTTCTTTCCAGAAATGGGTGTGATATGCTTCAGAAAAGGAGAAAACATACACACCAAGGCCCAATCATAGACGCAAATATTTACAAAACAAATACCTTCTCATCAGAGCCACTCTCCTTGATACCACTGCTTAATCTTCCTTTTGGAACAAACGCCTAACATTTCAACTAACTATAATTCAACTGACTAGTGAAACAGTTTTTCTCTTTAAATTCAACAATTGGAATTATTTTCCTTTCAGTTGCCCACGTGTATGTGTGTGTGTGGGGGGGGGGGTAGTTTCAAAATTCTTTTGTTCTTTAAGGAATTATACCTGCAGGGCAATTATGTCCTCCAACCTCCCGAAGACCAAATGTACCCCAGTGTGAGGAACAGGGAAGTGTCCAGGAAAAGGAAGAGGCAGACTCAAAACTACACTGTTGGCTGGGCTTCTGGCATGTGGAGCCACGTCCATTCCTAAAATGGCCTTGGGAACTACCCTCTTAAAACAAAAGGAAAACATGGAAAATGGATAACTGCTTGCAAAAAGCAAATGGGCAGCTGAGGAATAGTGGCTCATCACTGTGAGACAGAAAGCCTATTCAAGACCAAGAGGAGAGTAAAAATGTGCTCAGAAATTCACCATTGTCCAGCCACAGGCAGTGAGTTTTTGTCCTCGCCTGTCGCCGAATTCCCTACTGCCAGCCCCTGTGCCCGGGGAAGATAAGACTCACAATGGCTTCTGAGGGCACCACCTGAGCCACGATCTCAGAACACAGACCACTGAGCGCTTCCAGCCCCCAAACACCGATGCTCAGCCCTTCCCACCGTGGCACTGCTCAACTGCCATTCCCCAAGCTTGATAAGAACAGAGAGGGCTGTTGGGTAAAAGAAAGAAAAAGCAAAATGTTCTGCGTGCGTGGGTACTGGCCCTCTCCAAACGTGGTATGTCCCCAAGTCCTTTGCACACTTTCTTCAGGACAGGGCAGTGCCTGTCCCTTACACATGGATACCATTCCGAAGTCCCCACCTCTGGCCCTGCCTGTGTCTCCGGCCTCTGAAGCGGGGGCCACCTTGTCTTTCACATGCTAACCTGCACATAAATTTGTAAATGGAAGACTGGGGGTATCTTGTGCATTTCTAAAATTTATGTGACACACTGTATTTTTTGTGGGGGTAGCTGTGGGGCCACCAGGCCTCTCAGGAACACGCTTTGGGAAATAACATCCTAGACCTCAACCCAGCTGGCACTCAGGACGCTGCAAACAGCTGCTTCCTTCTGACTCCTACACAGATGATGAAACCCACGTAGCCGGAAAGGGCCTGTCTGATAAAAAGGGCGGTGTTCCTTAAACTCCCCAAAGGAGGAAGACGTTTAAAGAGGTTTGGTCTAGAAAATCAGAGGACCCG